ATTTATTTTTCTTCCAATTACTTATTTTAAGGAAAACGTAATAACTTTTAAACTAAGCGGTATATCCTGATAAAATAAAAACAGTAATAATGCTAAACTAGCGGCCGCCCGCGACTTCGTACGCGTGGATCCCGTTTGGCCGAACTTGCGGCATGCCTGGTGAAAGACGGACATCAGCTATTGCAGGCCTTCTGAGGATTCTGCTAGAAAGCACAAATCATCAGCATACATGATCTCAGTGATCAGTGCATACGAGACTTTCTTATCTTATCTTATCTTATTTAGGGCCGCGCATGAGCGCAGTGCACGTCGACCCATTGGGATCTTTTGTGCTTCCCTATACCTTTATCCCCCCTCATCCGCAAAGATCCTATCCATATAGTGGATCAAGAGCTTGGGTGAGAAGGACCTATATTCTTCTGGTGTCGGATAAGCCGACCCCAGGAGACCCATTCTAGTTCTAGCTAGCGCGTCACATTCGCACAGTAGGTGTTTCATGGACTCCGCATGTTCTCCACATGCTCGACAACTGTCATCCGTAGTTAGGCCCATTTTGTGGAGCATGTGGTTTGTAGTGTAGTGTCCTGTCAGCGCACCCGTGATCACTCGGGCTTGCCTTCTGTTTCCATTGAGTATGAGCTTTTCCCATGATCTTGTGTTTCCAACTAGGAATAGTTTGGAGTGGCTCATACCGTTGGAGCTTTCCCATTCAGCTCTGTGCTTCCTGGATATATATTGCCTCATGGCCATGTGTAAAGTGCTCATAGATAAGGGCACTATCGGCTCTGGCCCAATAGGTGCCGCCTCTGACCCTTGTCTCGCTAGACTGTCGGCTCTCTCATTGCCTTCGATTCCAGTATGTCCAGGTACCCACATGAGGGTCACCGGTATGACGTTTGCTAACGAATAAGGTTTTGCTTGTTTATTTTTCCATCCCATCAGTGCAATGTTACAAAATATAGTTTTTTTTATTTAATAGATAATGGCAGGTTGAACCAACAAAAAGGTTTTAGTTTATCAATCATAATAATCTTCTTGACAAGTTTAATCGTCAAACAACTTTGATCTGAATAATTTTGAACTTTACTGGCGAACAGTTAAAGATTATTTTCTCTAACTCGAGATTATTCTGTAACATAGTTTCAAAAGGTAATATGTGCTCGTGATTCGTTGAAGGAATCAATTTGAAAACTGACGAACCTTTTCATTCCGTGACTGTACTTAGGTGTCACCCTCGACCAGAGATTATCGTTCGCTCCGCACCTCAGACGCGTCTTGAGCTTTTCATTTTGGACGGTACAGACATGTACCGTGCCTGTTCTCCCCAATCCGTCCCCCGGACACGGCCTGAGCCGAGGTCCGAGCCTACCGGGGCGCCCTCAGGCCGCGTCCGTAGTCCCCCTCGATCGGGCCCACTAAAGTGAGCCCACCGCAGGCTGGACTTTGGTCCAACACCNTGATCGGTGAGACAGTCAGTCATTCAGTCAGTCAGTGAGTGACAAAATTAAGTAACTTTGACCCGTTATAATTCTTAAACTACTGGTTCAAATTGAATGAAATTTTAAATATACCGTGTCTTTACAATGCCTGCATGCTAATGAAAATTCAGCCTTCTAGTTTTATCCACAACGAAGTTACAGGCGGTCGAAAATGGCCTGAATTGCTTCGAGAAAAGGATGGTAGTTACGGCCGTGCCGCTTTTTTGCTCGACTTGGTGGGGAATATTAAATAACTCTAGATACATATTATTATGAGTACGAGTTACTTGGTTCTAAATACTCGTATAACCACATACAAGATTATGTACAATTTTAAACTAGTAGCAGTAGGCTTAATAAAACATAAATAGGCAGGTCCTATGTCTATGTTATAGTTCGTTGTATCAAGAATCTACTCTATCATTAGTTTCATTTAATGATACTAATTACTACTTATGTTCTTCTGAAGAATTCTAAGACTGAACTTCAATTTAAAAGAACTTATCAAGATAATTTAACAATCTCATAGATAATCACGTTAAAAGCTGTTGGTAAAATGTACCAATTACGCCGTATGTTGTGAGGACTATTACAGATAAGTAATTTCATGTATGTTGGTACGTAGCAGTGGCGGATTAACGTATAAGCACTACAAGCACGTGCTTGGGGCCCCAGTTCTCCAGGGGCCTCCATCCTCTGCTGGCGCGCCAGCAGAGGATGGAGGCGTTTCATTTCATACCTCTACATTTTATCGAGATTTAGCCTATGTTACTCGTAAGTAATGTAGCTTTCAAATGATGAAAGAATATTTAAAAACGGTCCAGTAGTTTTTGAGCCTATTCAGTACAACCAAACAAAGTTTTCCTCTTTATAATATTATAGTGTAGATAAAGTAAAGTGCGTTTTCACAAATATACAAGTGGCGTTTAAAGAAAGAAAGAAAGAAAAATTTATTACGATGAACACTTGGTAAATTCTTGCTGTGATTGTCGACAATTTTTGTTTTTTTGGAAATAATCCCGTTTTGAACTTTATCTACCTTGGTTAATTATTATTATTCTAACGTGCCCAAAATTCAAGTTTCTGGCTTAAGTAAGGTGGAGAAGCCATTTTAAAAGGTATGAGCGGAACGGAGAGGGCCATCTTACCAAACAGGGATTTTATGGATATCCGTAACCGTAACCGATACTATCGGATATCCGAAATAAAAAAATATCCATAACCGAAACAGATTCAAAAGTTACGGATAGTTTCGGATAAAGGTGGAGTCTTAAGGGTACAATAAATTCCAAACAGAAGCATTATTCAGGGTTACATAACAAAAAAAAAATTTAGAAAAAGTAAAGATTTGTAGCAACACGAGTAAAAAGACCGTCACCGGGAGTAGATTTTTTTTTTAATGCCTATTATTTTGACAAAATGACACATAGATTTTTTTTTTATAACCAGCATAACTTGCCTCAACACCCAGTTCCGGCTTGGCGTTGCATTACGGGACACCCTGTATGTGTATATGTATATTTATAAATGTATATATTAAAATAAACATGCGATGTGAAAAAAGAAGAGAAACAAAAGAAGTGTGCTAGTGTAAGACTAATATCATTGTGGTTGCGTTTAGAATCTTTCACAGCTTAATGATTACTAACTGCTTTGCTGAACGATCCTTCTCACAACTAAAAAGGTTAAAAAAACCCGCAAAGAACAAAAATCCGTCCAGACAAGCTTAATTATTTAGCATTAATGTGTATTGAGGCAGACATACTTCGTCGGATAAATTTCGACGATGTAATCTCGGAGTTTGCTCTGATTAAGGCAAGGAAAATAATGTTTTAAGTTTTACATTTTACCTACTACACTTTCTATTTTGATGAACTTACATTTTATACTTTATACCTTCCATTCCATTCCTTCCATTTCCATTTAAGCAATAGAGGGCCTACACAGGCTCTGTGCTTAAGGCCTCGGATACTCTTAATCCGCCACTGGTACGTGTACGCACTTAACTGTACCTACCTTTCATCTACCCTTGAATCAGGAAGGGATTCGTACTAAAGATGATATTATTCCATGTTAGGTTAATAACCCAGCAGAATTAGCTGAATGTTAGAGACAAAATGAGTATCGAAGGCGTCGTTATCATCTACCTAGTTATTTAGGACTAAGTAAGTAGGTAATGTCTTTGTTATTTCGATTTTTTTGCTGCACTACAAAAATCGCCTTTAACTTGGAGGGAATAATGGAGATTTCAACTAGGGTCTCCCTGTAACTATGGATTAAACAAAGGATTGATTCTACTATGCAAATGCAACAACTTTCTTATAGGAAAAATCCAATTCTCATTAAAAAATGTCCTCATACAAGTAAATTGGCTGTTACTAAAGACAATTTGCATGAAAAGGCTTTTTTTTTAAGATTTGAACTTCGTACTCTAAGTAGGGGAAGTTGTTGCATTTGTAGTTCAAATGCTGCTAAAGTTCTCTGAGCAAATACCTTGACACCTAGTCCTATTTAAGATTTTAATTAACATTTCGGATCATGGACATTCTAAAAACTAAGTGACTGACCTTGATTATACCGATTTTTATTTTATTTTTAAAGTCCTAATTAATAATAATAAAATAATAAATAATAAAAACGTTTATTTGAACCAAAAGTTACATTATTGCATGTATTACTATGCAAAAGTTACAAAAAGTGGCATGATAATCGGGGGTCCCATGACTACTCAGTGAACGTTTGGGTTGGGTTAATAACATAAATATATCTGTTATTAACCCTATAGAAAATGGGTTAACCCTAACCGAAATATACCGTATAATTTCGGTTTTCTTATCAATCGGTTAATGTTAACATTGATCACAAAATTAAATATGTTAACAGAAAAAATATGTTACAGTTTTACATGCGGTTAACCCTAACCGAATTATAAAGGTAGGTAGGTACCTTCATTTGCCTTTCCACCGCGCGAAATGTACTATGCGCTCTACGGCCATACAAGTTACAACCGATCGCCGCGCGGGCGGCGCGTCTCGTTTGATCATCGCNATACATTACTTTTCATTTTAATTCTTTTTAGTGCAAGCATGAGAGGACCATAATCCTACTCCCAGGATGACTTATCATTAAGAAAATCTCGAGTTGTATAATAGGCTTTCATCAAACTTCTATTGCTCGTAACTCAGTTCAGACTGAGTTTAGAGGTATACATGCCATAGTAAGTTTGGTTTATTACACTATTTTGTAATCAAAAAACAAAGTTTGGTCGATGGCCGCGCGAAAAAAAAAAGACGCCACTTTCCATACAAAATCTGGCATTGCCATTTAAAAAAGAAATGTGTTTGTTGTGTTGGCAAAACTGTAAGTCCAAAAATCCGCAGGCAATGAGATCACAACACCACTTATCAATAAAAGTCTAGATTGTCTATGGTCTGTCTGTCAGTAAAAAAAACATAATGGTGGAAGCGGGGCAAATTGTCAATTTGAAAAANGTGTTAACAGTATTAACACGTAACCGCATCAAAAGGTTTCCAAATGAATCTGTAACCGTTTATACCGGTTATCCTTATAAATCGGTTTTCCGTTCACTGTGACTACTAAACTAGGTTACAACCTGTATCTTAGTAGCCAATTAAGACTGATGAGTCAATCTGGGTAATGTTGACGATTTGTTACGAAACCACAAATCCGTCATCATATCAGCTAGAAGTATTATTCGATTCTACGGGGAAATTACATTAGGACAGCTATTAGCAACTAATAACTGTTTGGTAAACGGTATATAAATTGTTTAAAAAAAAACGAATTCATTGATTCACAACAATCTAGCCAAGATGAACGCTGCAACATTGGTAAGCTTTGTGATTAAATTGTTTATTCAAAAATCTAATTAATTCATGTGAAGTGACAATAGCATAATTTTGTAGCATAGGTAAATATGTGATTTTTAAGTGACATTAATGTGCCACGGTCGAGATCTAAGCGCGTGAGTGTTATCTACCAACACACCTCACCATTCATTGCATCGTTATCGGGTATTTGTGGACACTTACTTATTGTAGGTGACTATTGTGTAAAAAAAACCTGGTCCATGATAATGGTGATTTGGTGCTCAACTCAAATACAAAAAAACACTTCTCCAAATAATTGACCCCATCAGCTATTACAAAGCTGATCACAGCACAGCACCACCCTGTTTCATTAAAACTGAAAGTATGATTAATTAGACTGTTTTTTTCCCAGATCGCTATCCTCGGGATCGTGATAGCTACTGGCACTGCCATTACTGTCACCGACCCTCCACCTTCCGAGAGTCCTTTTGTGCCAGGAGTATTCATCGCTGCTGATGCCCTAAAGAACTTACAAGATCCAGGAAAATCCAATAATAATGGAGCCGAA